CACCCAGACCATGCACCAAGGCAGGAGTGCCCAGACCGTGCACCAAGGCAGGGCACCCAGACCGTGTGCCAAGGCAGGGCACCCAGACAAGGCCTTTTCCACAGCAGCTCCCGTAGCAGCCAGTGAGCCTGTGACTCTTCCTTTTCACCCTCCTCTGCGTCATTTGTCCCCGCAGTCTTCCACACAATGACTGTCTGAAGTTTCACCAGATGTTCATTTAGTTGTTTTTTTGTCACTATCAGTCGTCTTAACGTTCTAACTGCTCAGTGGTTTCTTGAATATGTTTCTCAACTTGAATCTTATCACCTCTTCCTTGCAAGAACGTGGCATCATCTTGCATCACAGTAACCTCTCCAACTTTTTCTAAGTCATAAAGCAAAACATCTTAAAGATTTAGAACCCGGCTATCATTTCCAAACCCCACACCATCAGTAGAGCCAGCTTTTTTGTTCCTTCTGTGACACTGGAACCTGGAGCTTGGACCACAGTAACCAGAAAGCCAACATTTATCCCATTCAAAGTGAGAGACTGAGCGCATCTTCAGCAATTACAGCCACAGCCTCGCATTGTTCCTTGGCAATTTCTGGAACTCATAAGTATCCCGAACTTCCCCTTACTGAACTTTTTATGGATTATTCAACTAGGGGGGGTGTGGGATCTTAGTTGAATTCTGTGCCTTCAACTCCTAATTCATCATTCAATGTTTTTCTGCCCTATGATGCAAGGACACTCTTCAAATCTTTGTGATTCCATCAGAAATGATGTTGCTGATTTCTCTGTCTCCATTTGCAGAAATTGTGGCAAAGTGAGCAATCTCTTCAGGGGTTCTAATGGGTTTAGGAGGCTTCCTAAATTCATGGTTACAGTATGGACATGCAGCATCACACCTTTCCTGCTTTCCCCTGGGTGAACACTTTTGCTCATCTTGAAGCTTTCCCTGGCCATCGAACGTTCCAGTGCATAGCGGTGGTGGTGCCACCGCAGCCTCTTCATTCATGTGCTGGCAGCATCCTGGTCAGATCTGGAGTGATTGTTTTATATTTATCCTGTAAGTCAGCTGACCCTCATCTTTAGTTGCTTTGAGGCTTCCCGGCTCTGTTTCATGATCACTGTTCTTACCACCGCTGTTCTCCACGGCAAGGGCCTCAGTGTCTGCTCTAAGGTCTGAGCCTGGAAGCATTAGGTCTTAGGCATCTGCACTGAATTTTACATCTGTGGCACAAACCTGAGTGAGATGAGGAGCCAGTGTGCTAGACCTTGGCTTTGTCTAGCGAAGGACTGTGGGTAATGAAAGCATTTCCATAGGGCTGGTGGCCAGGCTGCAAGGCAGGCCCTCTGTGACAAGGGAGGGACAGAATGTGCAGGAGGCACATCCAACATGTTCTCAAAGGGGAGATCAGATTTCAGTTTTTAGACAATCACGCTCTGCAACGTTTTTAAAGTTGGGCTAGAGAGTGAATCAGTGAACAAAATCCAAGCAAAAAAAGATGAGTTTAGGGCAGGAGTGGCTTAGAACATTGAAAGAAGGGACACATAGGAAAAAAATTTTTTTAAGGTTGATCGAATTGGATTCAGTGAAGGAATAGGTGTGGGGAGAGGCCAAGGGATGCTCCAGTCAGCAGGACAGCCCAGTGGTGGAGCGAGGGGATGACCCAGGTTAGAGCAGGATCACCCTTGTGGAGGGCAGCCTGAATCCACTGGGAAGGGCAGAAGCTGCAGGTCCCACCACGCGCGATTCCCAGAGCCTTGGAGACAGGTCAGACCTCCCTCTCCTCTCCACTAACAGGCCCCCGTCTCCTGCTAGCCCAGCCCAATAACTCATGCTGCAGACTGCGGAGGCATTTGTATTGCTGGATTCTTCCAGCTAAATGTGTGCCATGTGTCCCGCTAACCTTTACAGCAGCGGGGAAATGTCTTGTAATTAACCAGAATATAAAGGATGAATGGAGCAGCCTGGCAGTCTCCTGTAGTCATTATCATTCGGAGGAGATGGATGTACCTGGTAAGATTTCCATCAACCAGTTAAAGCCAGCACTCTCCTCTGGGGAGCCCTGCCTGTGTTCGCGTACAGTGCGGAAGCCTGTGTACGTGCGAGTTACATTTTGTATGTGAGTAGCAATAGGCACGTGTACACAGTGCACAGGTGTGTTCTCGCGGTTGTGCTGGTTGTGGACATGAGTGTGTGTATATGCCAGTCCTTCTTGGGGAGGGTGAGTAGACAGGAGGGACACAGAAATTGGAAGGATTCTTTCTGGGGTCCCAAGAGGGGAGGAGAGCAGGACCCTCTTCGTAATGTAACCTCGAGATGAGAGGAAGTAGGGCTCCCTCTCACCCACCCCCTCATGTCCACCTGCACCTCACAGTGCCCCTCCAGCAGCTCCAGGAAACCCCAAGCAGCATCTGCCCTGGGAATAGCATCCATGGTGCACTGGCCCCCCTCCCCGTCCCCCTTCTCCAGTGGACACTTCAACCTGAAACAAAGGGATTGGGAAAACTGACTCACCTCTTTCTTGGCTCGGTGCCCTGAATCACCTCCACAGACCAGACCTCACATGGGCCGCACTGGGTGACAGACCCCTTTCCCCACCCCTGCCCAATGCTGGGCCTCAGGGGAAAGGGCTCCAATTGTTCTCACAGCCCGGGGACCACTCTTGCTCTCTTGGGATGATCCAATCAGAGGAATTTTCCCCTGCCGCACTCTATTAGCTAGCCTTGAATAATGCATGCTCCCCCACTAACACCCTCTGCTTAATAATGGTCCATGTTGGTGTTCATTGGAAATTTTCCTGCTGGATACACACGGAGAGTAATGCACATTTGTAAAAAGGGTTTGAGTGGATAGTGGGGACTCTGTGGTAGTAACTGAATTCTTTCAGGCATTCAGCTTCCACAGCAGCTTGGCAGCCACAAGTCCTTGGGGAGCTTTTTGATGTAGGCAGAGCAGGGTGGGCCGGGGGTACTGGGAGATGGCCCCCCGATGCACCTGGTCACTGCGGGCTTAGTTTCAGGATTGGCTTGTCACTGCCAGTGCAGAGCGAGTACCTCAGGTTTCAGGGCCTGCGCCAAGAGGGGAAAGATGCTGAGAAGGTGGGCGGTGTCCCTGGGACTGCTTTGGGGGCAGATCACAAGGAAAGATGCTGAGGTTCAGCCGATTCCTGCCTCTGGGACCTACAGCAAATCATTTTAGCTGCCTTGAACCCTGATTTTATTATCCGTTAAGTAGGGATAATAACTACTGGTCAAGGTTGTTGAGTGTATAGGATTAAATGAAATGACCATTGAGGGCCCACTGTGTGCTGGGCACTATTCTAGGCATTGAGGATATAGCAGTGAACAAAATAGCCCCAAATCCCTGACTTCGTGGAGCTTACATTGCAATGCAGGCGACCAAACTAAGTAAGTGATACAGCATGTGAGAAAGTTAGGCAACTAAAGTGGGGAAGGGGAAGGAGAGCTGGGTTGGAGGGCAGTTTCAAATGGAGCGGTCAGAGAAGGTGTCCATGAGGAAGCCGTGTTTGCACAAATACTTGAAGGGAAAAAAGAGCGAGTCATGAAGATTTCCAGGGGGAGAGCATTCTAGGGAGCTGGCAGGTGGAGGCAGGAACATGCCTGGCATATTGTCGAACAACAGGGAGGCCCTTGGCTGGAGGAGAGTGACTGAGGTCATGGGGAGGGCAGATTGGTCTGTGCGGGCCATTTTAAGGACATTGGCTTTCACTCTAGGAGACATGGGTTGCTGCTGAAGAGTTCTGAGCAGAGATGTAATACAGTCTCACTTATGTTTTAAAAGGATCCCTTTGGCTCCTGTGTTGAGAACAGATTATAACAAGGGCAAGGAGGGAAGATGGGAGGCCATGGCAACAAGGGAGAGAAGCAGTAGAGAGTTGGACCAGGGTAATAGACATGGAAATTGGATTTGGATGTATGTGGAAGGATTTGCTGATGCAGCAGGTGTGGGTGGAAGGAAAGAAGGGAGTCAAGGATACTGATCTAAATAAAGAACTTATAAGGCATGTTGCCCAGGGCCTGGCACAGAGGAAGTGCCTGGTCACAGGTGTTGCTACCATGGCTGGGTATCAGTCTGAGTGAGGCTAAGTCACCCTGCAAGGGCCAGCTGTGAGGTGCCACAGGGGTCTGGAATTAGATAGATACCCCCAAGCCATATAACCAGAGACAGGATGAAGCCCTTCGAGGCCAATAAAGTGCCCTGGGGAACTGGGGTAGTCAGACCCAAGAAGGTGGATGGATTCAGAGGAGTGGCCTTTGGAATTGTGGAGTTCAAGCTGTCGTACCCTTGCTATATTATTTGGCAGAGTCCTGAAAAGCTATAGACTGGACTCAGTGATTGGATGAAAACCCAGTTCAATCCATCAGGCCGGCACCTGAGCCAGGCACCGTTCCCCAAAGGCTGCCAGGACCCAGCTTCTCCTGCCCACAGTAGGTCGGCTGGTGTAGGCTGCACTGATTGGCTCCACAGGTTCCTCATCCTTCTGGGACCAGCCATGTCTTTCTCCTCCCAATGATGGCAGAGATGTACAGGGTCAAGACTGGTCTGACAGGCCCTTTTCAAGCCTTTGGACATGTCAAGGACTCCAAAATTCCACTGCCCAAAGTCAAGCGGGGAGGAAATATATTCTGCCTCTTTCATGGGAAGGAGAATACAGTCACCTTGCCAAGGGTGTGCATTCAGGGAGGGTGACAATTTGAGGCCATAATCCAACCTAACACACCAGGTCAGGGCTGAATCTGCAGGAGGGCAGACAGGCAGGGCTCCATGAGGACAGGAGGTCACCTTGTCTGCCTCCCTCAGAGGACCAATCTGATAGCAGCTCAAGTGCCTGCTGCACTTGAACGCTACCCTAGGTATATCCTTACCCAGAGGGGCTTCTGGCGTTGACCCACCACGGAATGTCCCAGGCCAAGAGAGGGGTCAGTCTAGAGGGACCCCATCCAGTCACAGACAATGACTTAAACTGCTTTCCCTCTTACTTCCTCTCTAGTCAAGAAGCAAATCGAGTTGAAGTCTCGAGGTGTGAAGCTGATGCCCAGCAAAGACAATAGCCAGAAGACATCTGTGTGTAAGTGTCTGCCCACTGGCCCCCCGCCGGGCCTCTTGCTTGACCTCAACCTGCCGGTGCTATGACCGCAGGGGAGCCAGACGATGCTGGAATGGTTTTCCTTCCATCCTGCCTCCCTCCATCCTGGGCTCTGCGCGTAGACACACTGACCTGGTGGCCAACGAGCAGCCCGATGGCCTGGCCTTGGCCTCCCCCTCCCCCCCTTGCTGCTCTTTCTCCCTCACTTCCCTTCTAACTGCAGTCCAGGGAGTCATTACTGCTCCATTTCTCTCTTTATTTTTCCTTTTGAATCACTTCCACCTGCTAAGACAGTCCTTTTTCGGGCTCCTCCTCTAGGGGTCAGTAACCTCCAGCTGGGACCTTGGAGGCCGCAGGGCCCCAATTCCAGCTCCCAAGGCAAGATTGGGGAGGGGAGAGAGGGAAATGCCGAGTAACCCCCACCACGGCCCCTGGACTTGGCTGGGCGAAGAGTGGACTAGAGGGTGGGGCCTGGCCTCTCGCGCCAATGGGGCAGTGCCGGGCTCTCTGCGTGGGCACGGGGACAATTATGTCTGCGGAACATGTTCCTGCTTTTGGTGTCTGAAAGGTTTAAAGGAGGACACCCGATGCTGGGGGGTGGGCTGGAATGTCACCCAGAAACGCCTAATTGGAACCCGTGCTGTGGGGCTAGAGCACAGGACAGGGTTTGGGAAGGTTCAGGGGCCACCCTGGAAGGCTGGTCTTGAAAGCAGAGGAGATTTTCCCTAGAATCCCTCTGCTTTCACTCTGGAGGTGAGTGTGGGGAGCCTTCCGTGGTCCCCAAATGACTGGCCCTCTGGCCTGCTGTCTCCTGCCCTTCCGTCCTCCGCCCTCTGCGTCTCACATACTTCGGGCTCTGCCTCCACCTTCGCCTCCCTCCTTCACCCTCTGCTTTCTCCTCTTTCTGTTTCCCTTCTGCCCGCTGACCCTCTCCTCCCACCTCACCTCCACATGCTCTCTCCGCTCGAGGTGCTAGCAGTGCTTCCTGAGAGAGACAGAGAGCCACCACCAAAGGTTCCAGGCTCTGTGCTGAGTGGAGCGGGAACGGGGCAGGGGGAGAGGCAGTTCCGTCTTTCAAGTCCTCCAGTCAAGAAAGGGCACCGCTCCCCATCTCTGGGGACTGTCATCTCTGGTCACTGCACCCCAAGGGGCTGGATGGCAGAGAACAACCAGGAAGCCCTACATCTGTGCTTGACTAGGGACTAGGGAAAGAAGCAGGGAGCAAGGAGAGCCGAGGGGTAGGTCAGGAGTCTGCAGAGAGGGCTCGAACCGTGGTCTTTGCCCTCCCAGGCTCTTCTTTTCTGTAGCCACAGGAGACCAGGTGAACTGAGGCAGGCACGATTTAATTTCAGAGTTTTCCCTGGAGCCACAGGCAAACTTTAAGGAAATGGCCCAGATTTGGGAGAACAAGTTTTTATCCCAATGTGTCTTTAGGTAACTGTGTTACCCCAGGCACTACTGTCTCGGTGTCCACATCTGTAAAATGGGGATACAAAGCCTTACCCTCTCTTCTTCGCAGGGATGCCAAGATGGGCCTTCTTGACCTAGGACTTCAGAGGCCCATGAACTGTCCAACAATTACATGTGATGCTGTGGGTGCATTTTGTGGGAAGGAGGTCCCGTGGTTTTCATCAGATACTCAGGGTGCCCAGAACTCCCTTGGAAAGATGAATGAACCTTAGTTTAATGAAATAATGCAAACATATTTTGGAAAAGAAAATCTCTTTATAACAAGGTACAGGTCTTTGTTCTGAGGTTTCCTTGGAGAGGGACGGGTGTGTGACTCACGCTGCCTCCGAGGCAGGTAACCCAGTGTCTGCAAGTAGCTGGCCCTTTGCGTTCTGCCCAAATTTCCTATGGACAGATGTCCTGAACTTCAGAGGAGGAGTGTCCCCCACTTACATATCCTGAACCCTCCTGGCTGCCTTTATCAGACAGTCTGCGGGTACCATGGATCCCCAGCCATCGGTTCTGACCACCCACGTTTCCATGCCTCCCTTCAATTTGGGTAGAAGGTATCGCCTTTCAGAGCACGGTTCAGCTTCTTCCTCACCATAGGGTTACTCATGGGGTAGGGGCAAGGGTCACCTTCCCTTTCCTGTCTCCCCACTGTAGCCAACAGCAAATTAATGCTGCAAATACAAGTGTCTGGTTTTGATTAGGCAGGGGAGGTTGGAATTTGATAAAGAAAGGGAAGAAGCCTCTTGCCTCTGTAATTCAGGCAGTAAACTTCTCCCTGCAACTTCAGTTTGCTTGTTGCCAGGGGAGCCTTCAAGTCCACATGGGGCTGTGTCGCCTGCTGGGCTTGTAACTTCCTGGACGGTGACTGGGCCTTACTTCAGCTGGCTGATTAAAGGGGAGGCAGCCGGTGTGCTCCATGTGTCAGGGGATGTGGGTCAGTGGGTGGGCTGTGCCATGGTCTCTCCTCTCTGGTCCATAGCATCTTCATCTGCTGGCCTGCACTGTCAGCTTTCTGCGTGGCGTCAGTACTGACTAAGGGGGCAGGACACTGTGTCTGTTGTTAACGTGCTACCAGGTGGCTGTGTGGTTCCAGTTCGGTTGCTTGACAGGGACTCTGAATGGGTGTGGTCAATGGGCAGGGCCTAAAGAAGGTGGGAGTTTTGCTGAGAAGTCCTCAGGAGAAATGGACCACATGAGGCTGGCTTACAGCAGATCAACCACACATACAGCTCAGGACTGACCTCTTCTTAGAACAGAGTCTCCTCTCTCCTTCCCATCCCCCTGGGAATCCTGGAGGCCCCAGGTTTCTCCTTCCTCCCCATTGCTTGTAAGACACTGAGGCTCCAGGAGGCAGGAGCTTGCTCTGCGTGTGGAGACGGCACTTCCATCTTATCATCCCAGCCTTGAGGGTCCTGGGCTGGTGGGAATGGGGACGTTGCTAAGTTTCGGATGTGAAAGCTCTGGAAGTAGAGGCTTGGCAAGGAAGGGGAGGGGAGTAGGAGACTGGAGTCCAGTGGGAGTGGCTGGATGTAACCTGGCCATGTGGAATGTTAAAGAAAGGGAGACTACCCAAGGGGCACTGCCACACAACCACGAGGATACCAGGAGTCCGGCTTGAGGGTATAGTCTGTCCAAACCCCCAGGTCCCTTAACCAGGCACACCCTGGGGTAGCCGGGGATTTGAACAGGGTATACACCAGGCTTCTAACTGTAGACATGAGCTCAGCCTCAGTGAGTGTAAAATGCAGCTGCTCACAGGTGCTTTAGCTAAGAAACCCCCTGCTCCCTGCCCCCACACCCTAGTCTTCCATGAGCCCGGTGATTCTCTCTTTGCCATGTCCATTCCCACTACTTCATGTCCGTCCCCATACCAGGCTCTTGTTGCCCTTTATCTGGACAGTCACACAACTTCCTAAGTCATGTTGCAGTAACTGGCCACCCCATGAGCAATCCAGATCTTCCCTGCCCCCACTCAGGACTCTCCAGTGGCTCCAGTCATTTTCAGGATCAGACTCAAACCCCTTAAAAGTCTGACCTCTGGAATCTCACCTTTCACTCATTCATGTCACTCATCACTCTTCCTCCTATTCTGGCAACCCGGGGCAACCCAGTTCCGTTTCCACATTTCTACCCCTCTCCCCATGCCTGCCTGCCTGCCTGAACTGCCATTCCTCTGTCATTATGTATCCAAATCCTCCTATCTCAGAAGGTCCCTGTTCAATGCCACCTCCTCTGCGCAGCAGCCTTTCTTGCTTCTCACAGCAATACAAGATGGGCCCTCCCTCTGAATCTCCGTGTAGCTGCATCTTTCTTCAATGCTCCACGTGGTTTCACAGTTAGTTTCCGTGTTTCATGTCTTCACTGGACTGAGAGCTCCTTGAGGACAGATCATATCTTATATCTGACATTGACATCTCCCATGGTACTTAAAATAGGGCCGTGTACACAGTAGGTGCTCAGTTAATGCCGTTTGTATGCTCATGTGTGAGAATGAGTGAGTGGGTGAGTGAATGTGTGATGGAGCACGTTGCTCATATTATGGGGCCTTGAATATGTAGGACAAAAATGGGCCAACTCAGGGAACGTTGCTCCAGACTTCCAGTCGTCCAGTTGTCCCTGGTCTCAAGGGTACTGTCGGGATCCTGTGACTGGGGAGGCCTTGAATGGAACTCCTCTGGCCGAGCCATCTGCCTCCTGGTCACCCCCAAAGCCAGATATCCAGGGGTGTGAAGGGATTCCAGCCTCATGAGTATGAGCATCCCTAGAACAATGAACTGGCAGGGGCCAGAGGGTTTCCTCCCTCCCCACTGGGAACGAGGGACAGCGAACTTTGAGTGTGTCCGCCACCCTCTGATTGATCAAGCTTCTCTTTTAGCCCAGACGACTGTGCACATGGGCTTTGTCAACAGGACTCTGGTGTTTGCACAATTGAGAGCCTCAGCCGCCTGCCAGAATCTCTGCAGGGGCCATCTCTGCTCAGGGCCATCTCTGCTCAGTGCCCTTAGCCGGAGGCTCGGGCAGCAGGGGTGGGGGTGCTCTGGTTACTGCTCACTCAGGCTTGAGAACTGTCTGATGGGAAGAGGTTCCTCAGTAGAAATATCTTTGTTTGAGCTAAAGTGCCTGCTTTGAACTTCAGACTGCAGCTTTCTCCTACATTCTTTACAGTTTCTGATCACGCATCCACCTTTTATTTAACTTTCTTTAAGTCATTTTTCCATTTGGGGCTGAGGTTGCAGGGGCTCATCTCATCTAGAGTTGCCATCCCCAGATCTGAAGCTCAGGGTCAGGAGGTCACTGGGGGCTGAGGGCCATCCACCTCTGGCCACTGGTGCGTGCCAAGGGAACGGGGTGGCTGTTGGGTTGGGGTGCCTGCCTCTGAGCCCACATGCTCTTGATGAATTTCACTTGGACTTTGCTCACAAAGGAATTTGTCAAAAGCAGCTCCTCACCTTACACACTCAGGAAACCCAAGCCCAGTGGCCCCCAGCAGCCCCACTGGTATAGGGCCTCATTGTGTCTCCCAGTCCACCTCCCCCTCAAGACGCTGCCCGGCTGGTGCTTCCTGTGGTTACCCATCTCTGTATGTGCTGTTTTTTGCCTTGTAGTAACTCAGATTGGTGTGTCCCAAGGGCATAATATGTGTCCAGACCCTGGCATACCTGAAAGGGGCAAAAGACTAGGCTCGGATTTCAGGTAAGATCTGTTTGGGGACCTTCTGATTGTCAGAAGGGTGGGGTGGGCTGCAGGGGGGAAGAAAGGGCTGGCCTAACTTCCTGAAGGTAGAGTACAGAGGATGGTGTGGGTACAGGAATAGACGCTTTCTGGAGAAGAGCTGTGGCCTTGACCTTCTTTCCCAGTCCAGTTCTGGGAATGGTGCCCATTCCTTAAGGGGAAGGGGAGAGCTGTGGACCACCAGTGTCACCCAGCAAACCTACACCTAGGGTACAGAAGACTGCTGTCATCAGGAATGACAGGCCAGCATGCAGCTCATGCCTCTAGGGAGACCCCAGGGCCCCAGGATGGTGCATTTCTCAAAGTTTCTATCAAGGCCTCTTCCCATAACTCCATTTTTATTAAAGTTTTGTGTATCATCCACCCACTCTTAGCTGTCCTAATCGATACTTAGAGGACTGCTGTTTTGCTCACAGTCACCTTTTAACTTAATCCTAAAAGTATTCAGTGGTAAAAAAAAAAAAAAAATGGAGATTTTAAGTGATAAAATTGTAGAGATCAAGGGCCAGAGGGGAAATAAGGTTGGTGTGATACTTTGTGGAAGCAGGATACACTCAGGGTGGGCCTGGAGAGCCCAGGGATTGAGCTCACAGACATACTTTGTCTCCCAGGTTAGGATCCAGTGTCCAGTTCACCTGCAGCGAGGGCTATGACCTGCAAGGATCCAAGCGGATCACCTGTATGAAAGTGAGCGACATGTTTGCAGCCTGGAGCGACCACAGGCCGGTCTGCCGAGGTGAGGGGGCCCTGGGAAAGTGACACTGGCCAGGAAGCTGGGCCGAGCCTGGAGGACAGAGCCCAGCTCCGAGAGCCTGAGGTCTGTGCTCTCATCCAGGCTGACTCGCCCCACTCTCGCTGCCCCCCAGGCCTCAGAGTCTGCATTCATTTACTGATCCACTTACATTTACTTAGCACCTTCTCTACGTCAAGGTCTGTACTGGGGTGAGGAGATCCAGGAGTGGGGAAGAGAACCGTGGCCCTGCCCTGCATGGACCTTCCAGTCTGATGGGAGGCTATGTAGGGAGCAGGTTGCTAGCTCTTTGCACAGATATTACACCTACACCCAGATAGGAAGGGAATCACCTTTATAATGTCACCTTTAATCCCTCCGTGATGACACATGTACATCCTGAACCCTGAATCTCAATGCCCTTGTTTCTCTCCGCATACTCGGCAATGAACAGACCTGCCCTTCTGAAGATGCCCTTAGCTCAGCAGAAGTGGGCGGACCTGGTCTCAGAGGTTCCTCTGTCCTAGTCCCACACCTGGGCATCTTGTTCTCAGGGCCGTGCCACTCACGTCCGCAGATATCACATATACCAAGGGCGGGCTGGCCTAGCCTCGTCCCCCAGATGGTCTTACAGTAGCAGCCCTGAGTGTGTGCCATCATGGGGACAGAACAGCAGCGGCTTCTGTGAGAGCAGTGCTGGCCTTATTCCCGGGGCACCGGGAGGCGCTCTTACTTTCCCACGCTGTGTGCGCAGCTCTCCCACTCTGCGGGTGGCCGGGACTGGGTCTTGGTGCGAGAGTGAGCACTCGCCCTGGAGTTCCTGAACAAAGCTCCTTTGGAAGAGAAGGTGCGTGCCCACAGGAAGGTTGCGTTCTGGATTCTTCCTGTTTAAGAAGGAGATGTTCTGTCCCTCTGCAGGCACGTGCATCACGGTGACATCCATACAGAGCGAGGGGTCTAGGAAAGCGAGCTCTGGCCATGACTACGCTGAGGAAGGCCAAGGTTGAGTTTGAGCAAACCTCACTTTAAGAGTAAAAGGGCCTGGCTGGTGTGGCTCAGTTGGTTGAGCATCATTCCTCTTGGTTGAGACCAAGAGGCCACCAGTTAGGTTCCCCGTCACCATTCCCGGTGCGGGGGGCAGAGGATCAGTGTTTCTCTCTCTCCCTCGCCCTTCCTCTCTCTGAGTCAATAAAAACATATATTTTTTAAAAAGAATAAAAAAAGACAAGACTCTCTGAACCCCAGGAGAGCTACACTACTAAGTAGGTTACCGAAGATCATGTTCTGAAAAGGATCCACCACACACATAGCGGTACTGTTTTCCCCCTAATGCATTTAAATTGTGATTCCATTTTAAATATTCATTTTGCACACAGTTAATTACACCAAAACATGAGGCCTGGCAAATAATAGGTTCTCCACGAATATTTTGAGACAACCTGCGTGAATCGGTGATTGAAATGAATGAACAGCATGGCACTGAGCCCTCATTTTGGAATCTGACTTCAGGCATTCACAGGCCCTTCTTTTGTTTCCCTCCCGCCTGAAGAAGTGAGCTAGAAAATTTCGATCATTTGAAGGAGATTGAGGGCAGCCGAAGCACTGCTATCGAATTCTGTTCAGCCCCAGATAGAGGCAGAACAGTACAATATAGGACTTGTCGGACTTATTTTATATGCGGGCCTTAATATTTTAAAATAAGCTTTCACAGAAGCCCAATAAATAAAACAGATGCAGGTCTCGCACTGAAGTAGGGGCAGGGGACTGGGAGTTGCCCCCTCCTCACCACTCTCAGCAGCCCCTAAGCCACCTCCGAGGAACCCCTCAGGCTCCAGGAACACCATTTGTAAACAACTGACAGAATGAAGAGGACCACATTGACAACCAGGAGATCTGGTTTCTTGTGGCCACAGGTTGGGGATGACAGAGAATAGGGCCTGGGTACCAGCCCCAGATGAGAGACTTACAGTTACTGAGTCAAAGAGTAGGTAATCTACAGAAATCAATACATTAATTTTTCCTTTGTGGGAAAAAAACACTATTTGCTGTGTAAATACATACATATATATTTATATGCACATTACATATATGCACATTTATACATCTGTGTAGAATAAAGGCCTTTTTGGTGGCTAAAAAGAGCCAGACTCAGGACTCAGAGACTTAAGTTCAAGTTCCAACCTCGCTATTAACCCACCATATAGCACAGGGCACGTTTCTGAACTGTTCTGAATCTCCTCCTTCATTCTCACAAAATGGGAGTGAAATGTGGGAAATAGCGTACCAGCCAGCTACAGTAAAGGCCATGGATGTTGCAGGCGACTCTCTTCCTTCTTGGCCTTCCCTGGATCAGCTTCCAGGGCCTTGACCTTAAACACTAATGTTCAGAGGGTTGTTTTCACTCTACTCACCNATTTTCTCCATGTGGAGGAAAAATCACCTGTAGTATTAGCATTTTGGCTAGAAATAATGGTGAAAGAAAATTCCAAAATCAGACCTGAAAGTTCTCTGGGATGTAATCTGACGGAACCCAGAGATTAGACTAATCTAAAGCAGCAGACACTTCTTGACCTTCCTCTGACACTCCTCCCAATTGGCCCTCAATTCCTTCTTAAATATGTTTGTTTTTTCCTTTCCTATTTGAAGGCCAAAATCCTTACTGAAGAAAATGGAAGACAGAAGTTTAATAATTCTGTTTTATTGCTGGTAACAAATAACATCAGAACATCTCTGCTATGTGAGGACTATCTCTTCCTTATTGTTCAGAATGTAGCTTTGAAATTTTAAAAATCAATTTTTGTTGCCTATAGCACTTGTCTAGATTTTCCACTCATTGTGAATACTTCAACTCTTTCCCTCGCTCTCTTGCTCTTCACCTTATACTTCATTTTAAAAGGTATCCAATTAAACAAAAATTACCATCTTTCCCTTCCCAAGCCCATCTCCCTTCTGGCGTCTCCACACTCTGCTTTGCCTCCACTGACAACAGGAGAAGTATCTCTGTTTCCCTCCAGTGTCTCTCTTGGATCATATCCTTTTTCTGACTACTTACGAACTCTGTTCTTATAATTATTCCTTCTCTCTTATACCACAGAAACCTCCTTCTCTACTGCATCATTCCAACTAACATACAAATGTGTTTTAATACTCCATATTAAAATAGCATTCCTGAGACATCCCCCAGCCCCACCCTTCTCTGGTAAGGCCCATCTCTTACCTGCCCGCTCTCGCACCCCAGGAAGGACGGCATGCCCATCGCTCCAAGGAAGTGGCCCTTGCCAAGGTTTCTGTCAGCTCACCCTTCCCCAAATCCAACGGCCAGGTCCGTCGTCCTTTTTCCTCTGACTTTATTTTCAACATCATTTGATACGGTCAACTGCTACCTTTCAACGTTTTGTGTAACTTACTTCCATAAGGCCACATCCTTCAGGTTCCTCCTGTCTCTTGGCAGCTCCTTCTCAGCTCTTGCTGCCTCTGCCCCTTTTTGACCTCTAGGTACTGAAGGGCCAATTCCTTACTTCTCCACTTCCCCTCCCCTCCTCCCCTCCCCTCCCCTCTGTAGCCATTCTCTCTATGGGACTCACTGACTATGCTAGAGCACGTGCCCATTGCTCCCTGGGTCCCTCACCTATATATATGTAGGTACTAATGGTAAAGCTCCCATTTATTGAGCAATTTATACTTGTATAAAGCATTGCAGAAGGCATTTCTCATAATTTCTTCATGAAGAACATGATGATATCCATATTTCATGTCTAGCTCAGGCTTGGTGTGGTCAGGCGACTCGCCCAAGGGCACAAAGCTAATCGGTGGAGCTGGACTCCAGACCTTGACTCCAAAAGCTCTATCCTACACTTCTTGAAAATTGCACCTTCAGAGTCAGTATAATGGATGGAACCACATAAAACAACTCTCTCCCCCACTTTTTGGTAACTTTAATTTCGATTTAAAATTGTAAACTCAGAAAATTTGCAGGAAATATGCAAAAAACCTCCTATGTACTCTTTACCCAGATCTAATCAACTACTTTTAAGGAGTTAATGGCCGAGAAGGAAGCTGAGATGGGTCAGTCAGAGAGGTAGGAGAAGAGCCTAGAGGCATCGTAGAAGTTGACAGTTGTGAGTTTTACCAAGAGAGAAGGCTCAGTAAGGTCACACCCTCCAGAGAGGTCAACTGGGGTTACATGGCTCAACTGAGTGGCAATGGTTGAAGTTTTTCTTGTAAGAAATTGTCAGGGAAACTGAACAAAGACAAGGGAAAGGGCTAACCTGGCCAGGAGCTTCAATTATGGTGGCATAGAGAAGGTGAATGGTAGAATTAATCAAAGGCAGATATGAGAGTGTCAGGGACGCCATTGGTGATGGTCCTGAGGTCCAGACTAGAGAAAGAAGAAGGGTCAGCAGGGGATTGATAGGTGAGGAAGGAAGGAGCCAGAAGGCTGTAGGGACCTATGATTTAGGATAGCAAGTCCCTCAAGATCAAGCCACTCTGCTGGGCGCATCGGCGGCAGGGGAAAGAATGGATGATGGAGTTTAAGATCTCACAGAGGGACTCTACTGGGGCCCAGAACAGCAAACCCTGGAGATGGCCACGGACATGGTTGACTTTGGGTGGGGGCACCAGATCTCATGAGGAGGGGGGCTGGCCTCTCAAAGGCAAAGGAACTGAAGGGGAGAAGATGAGCACATAGGCAGACAGGATTGCAGAATGGGGGATGGGAGAGTGTGTGGCAGCCAGATGTCACCTGTTTCATCCCCAAAGGTGGAAGCAAGGTCATCAACTGAGAGTAAGGGGAGGCAAGGGGAGGGGCGAGAGGTCTGAGGGGCATGTGGAAGGAAGGAAGGGTCTGCGCAGAGCAGGAGAATGAGCTTAATAGAGCTAAGCGATATTGCCCGAGTTGCTGGGCAATATCTAGGATTTTTAAAGGTGAATAATCATGAATTTATAGTGACGTCGATCTTTCTACTCGTGATTTTTCTCCAGAAAAGCTCAACTGTCTGGGGGCAGATCTAGAGAATGTAGGTGGAGAGGTTCACCCATAATTGCTGTCTTCCAGGCAACTGATTAAAGGCAAAAGGAGCAGGGGACTTGGGTGGATTTCCAAGAAAATGATCATAATGGTGGACCATGGGCTCTAAGCTGGGTGAGGATAGAAGAGAAGACAGGGAACTGATGGGTGGAGAGAAAATGTTGGTGTCCGGGAAATGAGCTCTAGTCGAAGATCAAAGAAGAGTCCTCCAGGGGTTCAGCAAATGTTTATAGGGCGACCTTGGGGAGGGCGGGAAAAAGCTCTCACTGCAGAAGGCTGCAGAGGAAGCAGTGGGCCGGGGGTGGGGGGCTAGGGGGCGACGGGCTTCGATCACGGCAGGAGCTGGAGCTGGAGCTGGAGCTGGAGCAGGAGGTACTTAGAGATGTTGCAGATGCAGGTCAGGTTTGTCTGCCTTAGATTTGGTGGTGGGGACGTCAGTCCAGAGGACTGTGGGAAGGCTGAGGAGGCAGGTCGCTAGTAGAAGCAAGAGAGGACAGCATGGAACAGTGTGGGACTCAGATTTGGGGAGAAGATGGAAGACCACAGGCATTTGCATATGAAGCAGTTTCCTTTTTGGTGCCAAGATGTTTCAGTGCCAGGCTGGCTGTGGGTCCAGATGATGCCCCCCTAGTGTCCCCTGGAATACTTGCCCTGTTATATGGTGTCATGATGTCCAGAGGAAGAGAGGGAGTGGTGGCCAAGCTCAGGCATGGAAGGTCCTGGAGCAGACTCCTGAAAGTTATCCAGCGGAAAATTTGATGGGGGAAAGGCAAAAAGAAACATCAACGTGTGTTTATTCATTTATTCAGACCTTGTCTGAGCATCTACCATTTTGCCAGCCCGCGTGGGTTGCAGCCACGAGCTATCCATCTGTTGCTTGGATCCCAGGGACTGGCTGTTCAGGGGGAAGTCTGTCCACAACCCCCCCCCGCCCCCGACCTTACCCAGACAGCAGAGGAAAAAGGTAGCCGATGCTCCACTCTGAACCTATTTTAAGGTGCTCCCTGCTAAATATCTGCAGATTGTAATAATTTAATTTATTCCCTCTAAGCCCTTAAATTGGTAAATGCCTTTTTGACCTATTCTCTCTAATTACCTTCAGCATGTTTCAACAGACTGCAAATACCATCTAATTTTTGGAAACAAGTGCAGGATAAATTGAGTCCGAAGCTGAGGGCTGGTAAGGGAGCAAAGCCTGGCTTTCCAGAAGGGGTGTAAGATGATGTTGGTGGGGATTTATAAGGTTCCCCACAGGGCTAGGGTTCTGGATCCACAGGTCCACGCTGCAGAGGTCGGCTGGGATCATGGCTTTGGTTTTGATGATCTTACTCTAATTTGTTTAATAATGTTGTCAGTCTCAAATGTGGTCACGGGGAAAAAATCCTATGTAAAGAAAGTTCAAGAAAGGTAGAAAAAGCTCTTGGGCCTTGAGAGAAATCTTGGGCTTCGTGAAATGGAATGAACATAGCATTGGGAGTCGGACAGTCTCAGTTCCCCTTTGTGGAATATCGACAATGGCCCGGTCTTGGGTGAGCCTTCACCTCCATTATTTCAGGTACCTTCATCCTCACCATGCCTCCTCGAGGGCTGATGTCACTAGCCCCATCTCACAGGTGAAGAATAGAATCCGAGAGGTTTCTTCACTTACCCAGGCTTAAACAGCCAGCAAGTAGATGGAAAACCCAGAAAACTAAGTCAGTAAACCGCACAGCCTACCCTCTCCTAGCCAGGGCAGCTGCCTTCAGCCCAGTTGCATCAAGCACAACCTGCGAATTGAAGGGTTTCTCAGCACAGGAGGGGAATGGAGGAGGGGAATGGAGGAGGGGGTTCTCCTCGGGCTATGTTCAGACTTGATTTAACTGACATTTGAGCTCAGGATGAGGGAGAAGATCCTTTAGGTGCAGGGCTGGGGGGAGCCATCAGGAACTTCTTCACTGAAGGTGATGAACTCGAAGGAGCAATTCTGACGCAGCGGCTCCTTGCAAATAACCCTCAGACAGCTCTGCCTGATCCTGTTTTCATACCTGTTTCCTCCACTTGCCCCTGGCCCTGCAGAGGGGAGGGCCTGTGTCTTAGATGTTTTTTCTTCCCACACTCTGCCTGGCTCATAATAGGCACTCAATAAACGCTGGAATGAGTGAGTGTAGGAATGAGCGCCTGAAATGAGAAGAGATGAATTATGCCCGGGAGCTGTGGAAACTGCTTCCCAAACCGTCCCAGGAAGGGTTGATCATGGCCCCATCCACGCTCGGAGAGGAGCTCTCAGATACTTTGCCCCATCAGAGGAAACCAGGCTTGACACCACCTTCATTTTATATACTTAGGCTTGTTGCGTTCACTCACTGTTTCTTTACCATTCGGCACTTTGCCTACAATTAGGATAAATTGCCATGTGGGCAGCAATGGAACAGGCTCGTAGAGCTCTTTATTAAAATAGCGGAGCACTAACATTGAAGAATGAAGCGCCTCAAACTAAAGAACACGTTTTTAAAGAAGGCAAACACCTAGGTACAATGTAGCACCTTAACTGTTATCAATCACTACTTAATCCAATTAGCTCAGAAGCTATTTTAAAGGGCTTAATTAGATTAAGCTGTGATTGATAACACTTTATATCTACTTGAGTAGAGCACTTCTTCTAATTCACCTTGAATCTCTATGCTTCCAGTCAAAGGCCCGTGTGGGGCATGTGCTGAGTGTGGGGAGGGAACTGGGGAGTCCTTGATTGGCACTGAGACTCTGGGTGCCCTGTCCTGGGCTGAGCTGGGGGCATTGGCAGAGTCCTGGGGCACAGACATTCTGAGACCTAGTGAGGTGGCCTTGATGAGGACATCCTGAGATTCTACTTCAGGGGGCGTGAAGTAGACGCTGCCCCAGGTCCTGGGTGAGCCTTCACCTCCATTATCTCAGATACCTTCATCCTCACCGTGCCTCGAGGGGTGAGAGCAGACGGGGAAGCACAGACAGGTGAGCAGAGCAAGGGGTGGGCGCCTCAGCAGCCCACAGTGTCTGGGGCCCACCTGAGGAGCACTAGCCACACCCTCTTGGTGGAGCTGAGCTGCTGGTCGCAGGAGAGTTGGGGTTGCACTGGGCTTAGCTTGGCTATGGAAGCTCATCGTTGCACACCGAGCGCAGCCAGGCAGGGCATGCGGAGCCTGCCCCAACCAGTGCGCCAGGAGCTGCGACTTCCCTTTGAACCCACTGAGCACTGTGAGGGAAGAAAGCAGAAAGCAGAACATCATGTGTGGGTTGAGACTGTGCAGACTTCAGTCTCCTCTGCGCCGGGGATGAGAGGTGGGGATGGGCACCGGACCTAGTCTAAACTAAACTTCCATCTTCTCCCTGCAGCCCGCATGTGTGATGCCCACCTGCGAGGCCCCTCGGGCATCATCACTTCCCCCAATTTCCCCATTCAGTATGATAACAACGCACACTGCGTGTGGATCATCACAGCGCTCAACCCGGCCAAGGTAAGGCTCGGGGGGCGTGGGCAGCGTCCTGTGGGCAGCGCTGGGTTGGAGACAGTTGGTCTACAAGGGTTTCAAACCCAGAACTAGGTTGTGGTAGGTTCTTTGTAGGCAACTCTTAAAAATTATTTTTATTAAATATCAAGTAGATAAAAAGCATATTTGTAAAATGTAAGTAAGGTATAAAGAACCTCGGTACAACAGACACCTGCATAGCCAAATCACAGCTACCTTAGTGATGCGAGTCCCTCACCAGTCCCATCCCATTCCCTACCCCTCAGGTGCACCCTACCTCGATTGTGTGCTTATCATTCCTCTGCTTTTCTTTATAGTTTACATGTAAATGTGTATCCTGAAAAATACATTGTTTAGTAAGCTAGCATTTGAACTTCATATAAACGTACCCGTGTTGTATATATTCTTAATTAACTTTACTCAAAATTACATCCCTAAGATTTATTATGTTGTTGTGTGTAGTTTTGCACTGCTATGCACATCTTTTCACATGTTTATTTCACACTTCGTTCTTTTTTTGGTGACATGTCCTTTCTTCTCATAAATTTTGCAAGTATCTTGCCAAGATCCACAGAATAACCTGTTGGAATCTTTAATTATACCAAAACTACAGATCAATTGGAGAAGAACAGTTATATTTGTAATACTGAGTCTTTCAGTCATGAGTATGGCATGTCTCTCTATTTACTTAGGGCTTCTTTAATGGCTTTCAATCAACTTTTGGAATTTTTCCATTACAGGTCTTGTACATTTCTTAATATATTTACTCCTAGATATCTTATATTTGTTGTTGCTGTTATAAATCTTATCTTTTAAATTTTTATTTTCTGCCTATTTCTTCCTGGTGTTTAGAATTGCAATTAGCTTTTATTCTTTGACCTTTGTATATAGCGACTCTCTAGTAATAATTTATCTGTGAATTACATGAGGTTTTCTACATAAGACAATCATCACCTTCAAAAAATGATGGTTTTATTTCTTTCTTTACAATCCTTATACTTTCTCTTCATTCATTTTCTTGCCCCAATGTTTGGACTTAAACCTCAAATATAATGTTGAATCACTGTGATGATGGTGGACACTCTTGTCACTGTTTGATGTTAGAATATTTTTACTTCATCATTATGATGTTTGCTGAAGCTCTTTTTTTTTTTTACTTTAGTGTTTTTCTAATCTTAGTTTGCTAAGAACTTAGTGTGAATGGATGTTGAGTTTTATCAAGCACCCTTCTGTATCTATGGATATATCATATGACTTCTTTCTTTATTCCCTTAGTGTGGTAAATTACATTGGTTGATTTTTCTAATGTTAAACCAACCTCATGTTCCTGGTATAAACCTAGCTTGGCCGTTTAGTAGTATCATTTTTATACATGTCTATAATTGATTTGCTAATATTTTATTTAGTAATTTGCTTCTATTTTGTTAGTGAGATTGGCCCCTTTTTTCATATTATCCTTGCCAGATATTTTTGTCAAGATATTGCTAACCTCATAAAATGATGTAGAGAGTGTTTCCTCACTTCCTATTCTATGGATTTATAAAATAACTTTTGCTTTAAAAGTTTCGTGAAAGTTTTCAGCATAATTATCTGGGTCTGCTGCTCCTTTGTGGGAAGATTTTAAACTGTAGATTTAATCTTTTTATGACTAAAATATTATTTAGATTTTCTGTTTTTTCTTGAGGCCATTTTCCTAAGTTTTCAAATGTATTGGCTATAAAGTTGTATATACTATCTTTTATTATATATTTTTATTCCCTTTTTCATTTCTTATTTTGTATCATTTTTATCAATATTGCCAGAGGTTTTACATTTTGCTATTCTTTGCAAAGAACCAATTTTGGTTTTCTTAATACTTCTTTTGATATACTTATTTTCTATTTCATCATTTTCTGCTCATCTTTATTCTTTCTGTTATATTTGGATTTATTGTTATTCTTTTTCTGGCATCTTAATTTTGATGCTTAATTTATTATTTTTCAATCTTATTTAAGTATTTTATGCTATAAATTTCCTTCTCAGAACTGTTTTGGCTAGATTCCCACAGGTTTTTATATGTAGTATATCTGTTATAGATTAGCTTTGAATATTTTCCAATTTCCATTATTCTTTTTCATCTTTCAACCACATTTTATTTAGAAGTATTTCTTAATTTTCAAACAAAGGTTTTTTCTAGCTGTCTTTTCGTTACTGGTTCTAAAGCTTGTGGTCAGAGAATGTTCTCTGTATTTGAATCATTTCAAGTTTATTAAAACTTGGTTTTTGGACCAGAAATGGTCATTTTTTGCATATATTCTGTGTGTGCTTGAAAAAAATGAAGTCTGTTTTGTAGTTTTTGTGTTCTGTTACATCAAGCTTGCAAATTGTGCTTATATCCTTTATATCTTCATTGACTTTGTCGTCTTGATCTGTCAGCTGCAGAGGGAGGCATATTAAAAGCTCCCACTATGATGGTGGTTTCGCCTATTATTCCTTGATGTTCTCTTGGTTTTTGCTTTATATGTTTTGGGACTGTGTTATTAGGCCATGCAAGTTTGAGAATTATATATCTTGCTGGTGAATTGCAATTTTTCAAAAATAATTATGTAATGACTCTCTTTATCTGTAGTAATGTTTTGATCTTAAAGTTTTTTCTCAGCTATTACATCAGATTTCTTTTGGGTTTTGTCTAATAAATCTTTTCTTCTTGCTTTCAACTTTTGTACTTCCTAATGCTTTATGTCTTGTGTATAGCTGGATTTTTAAAAACCTGTCCTCATCGTTAAAATTACACAATCATTTATATTCTTTTAGGGCTACCCTGAAATATTCATGTGCATACTTAAAGTCTAATGTAAATAGTAATTTTATGTTCCTCCTGAAAAACCAGAGGCCTTAGAACACTATGACTTTAATTAATCTCTCCCAACTTATACTCTGTGCTGTGTATTTTTATGTTTGCTCATAAGTTATTATTGTTATTGTTTAATAAAACCAATGTCCATTTAGATTCACCGACATATTTACTACTACTTTGTTTGCTATTCCTTCTTGCATATTAGTTCTTCTCTTTGGAATTACTTTCTTTCTGTCCAAAGCACGTTTAAAATTTATTTTCCTCTTGATAACAAACTTTCAAAATTTTTGTTTATCTTAAAATGTCTATTTTCCCCTTTCTTCTTGAAAGAGCATTGATTTTCACTAAATATCCGATCCTTGCTTAAGAATCATATCCTCTGCACGTGGAAATATTACTCCAGTGTCTTCTAGCTTCTAGTATCGCTACAAATTTATTGTCATTCCTTTGTATGACAGTCTTCTGGCTGCTTTTATAGTCTTTTGCTTGTCTTTAATGTTCTGTAATTTCACTATCATGTGGGTATTTTGGTATTTATCCTGCTTGATTTCATGAAGTGTCTTGAATCTATGAATTGTAACTTTCACCAGTTTGGGGAAATTTTTAGCCCGTATCTTTTCAACTGTTCTCTCTCCTTCATGATCTTTCTTTCCTGCTCTGGAAGTCTGTCATGGCATGCTACTCTCTTTCACTCTGTCTTCTGTCTCTTAACTCCCATCATATTTTCTCTTTTTCATTCTGTTTATTAATTCTCTGTTCAGCTCTGTCTAACCTCTGCTGCATTCATTCACTGAAGATTTGTTTTAATTTTAAATATTTTCTCTTTATGAAGTTCTCCTTGGTTCTTTTTCAAATATTTCTGATTATATTTTATAGAATCTTGCTCCTTACTCATATTTTAGATCTTTCTCTAATTCTTTAAATATATTAAACATATTTATTTTATATTTTGTGTCCGTTAATCCCAATATCTGAAGTCTTTACCAGTTTGATTCTGTTGTCTGTTGTTTCTCACCTCTTGCCCTCAGAATCATGTTTTCTTCTTTGGTTTATAACTTTTGACCGTGTGGTTAGACTTAGAAACTTTGTCTGCGGGAATTATTTGAGACCTGGATAGAAGGTAGTTTCTTCCACAGAGAGTTTACATTTGCTTCTACCTGGTGTCGGGTGGCAGCCAGAAACGTCTTCAGAATAAATTCTCAATACCAAGATTTCTAACAACCCAAGTAACCCAAAGGCTGACAACTCACGTAAAGGTGGACCTACTGTGATGGACTCTCAGGGGAGGTTTTCTGTTCGCTGTCCGCTCGTGTCAAGGTCCGAGATAAGCAGTCAGCCTCCAGATCCACCCAGAGGATAGTATTGCTGGTAAGAAGGAAGACAGGCTCGTTCCTAGCTCCCCCTCACGCGAAGGGCGAAGCTTTAACTAGCCCAGCTGTATTCATGGTGTCCTGTTGGAGTCCCCCACCTTGGTGGGACTTGGTGACTGACTGGATGTGAGGACTGAGGGAGAAGGAGGGGTCTTATTCAACATTGTACCCCAAGCGACCAGCACAGTGCCTGGCGCATAGCAGGCGTTCCGTAAGCATTTAGTCAGTGAACAAAGGAATGAAGCCTCGATGCCTCCTGACTCGGACCAGTGGGAGGCTTTAAGTGGAAATACAAGAGGAGCAACTTGTGTGCAGCAGCCAAGAGGGAAATCTGGTGCGTCTGAAGCGCTGTGGTTCATCCAGTGGCATTTGGATGCGCTGGTTGGAAACTGGACAAATCTGGGTTCACAAGCACACAGGTGGACAAAGAAGCCTAATGAACGGACAGCCCTGCTTGGAAACAGCAAAGAGAAGAAGAAGATTCCAAGTGGATCTGGGAGCACCGTCCTCAGAGAAGAAAGAGACCCAGTGAAAGAAACAGAGAAAGAGCAATCTAAGGGGTAGGAGGAGAGCAGGCTGCAAAAGCAGGGGGCCCTTCTAACCAGGGTGTGTCTCACAGGGGCAACGGTGAGAAAAGTCTAGTTGGAAGCGAACTGAAGAGGCCCTTGGCTCTGGCCTTGGGAGATGCCTTTTAGTGGAGCTCTGGGGGCAGGGATCGCCGTGGGGTGGGAGTGAATGGTGGGAGGGGAGGATCTAGAAGCCAGTCGTGTAGACAGCCCTGT